TGCCCGACTGATGGCCTCTTATGAGACTACCTTATTGGTACTAAATTCCGAATGAACCAAAAATAAATACAAGACCATTAACTATTAATATATTTTTGCCTGTTTAAATAAATAACTTGGTTATTTACAAAATATTGGACGAAAAAATAACCATGATTGAAAGTTAACTGATAAGAACGCGATTATAAATTGCCAACTTCATAGGTCACTCAAGTCCTAACGAAACTAGTCCTTGACTATCAGAGTTAATTTCTAACCTCCATGTAATCCTAAATAGCTTTGAATGATCTCATAATATTAATGTTTTGATTCCGTTGTTGTGAAGGTAGGACTTAACATAAATGAACAACTTCGTTGTTAGGGAATACGTTTGTTTGTGGGAATTTTTTTTCTGTTAAAAACTGTTTTATCATAGACAGGTATGATAAAATCTGGAGAGGGAGCTAAAACCAACGATTTCTTTCTGGATTAGAAAGTTTGTCGAGAATATCAACTATTACTCCTAATTCTATTGGTTCGAAAAAAGTAACCTAGTTATTTGTGAAAGTTGAGAAAGAAAATACATGTTTCATAAGCATCTCAATGGTCCAAAATTTAAGCATCCACACGCAAGAACGAAGGTCGTGTGTTTGAATCCTGTTTGCAAGATGGTGAATGAGCACTGGTGAAAGGTTCCATACTAGGACGAAACAACCATCTAGTGCTCCCAAGTTTTAAACGGTGGTCTAGCTTAGATTGACTCATGGATTCAACCGATACAGTACTAAATTCGCTACAAACCCCCATTCTGATAAAACAATAACCGCTTACCATTTATTGACATTTGATAAATTATAGACTTTTATAAAATACTGGTAAAAAACTTGATTGTTAAAAAGTCAATTAGATGCTAAATGGTAATATATATTGTTAGTACGTTATGTTCAATGACCTGAAAGCTTGAATAGATTTTTCGGGGAAATTTAACAGTACAGAGTTTTAAAAGAACAAAATGTTGAAAACGCTCTAATATATATGAACAGCTTTATCTACTGATACTGAATCTGATTAACTTCAAGCAATTATCATATCATTGTTTGTACATTTATTTTGAATGTAAATAAGGCCAGAACAAACACTGCATGATATTTTGAATATCTTTCCTCATTACATGATTTCTGATTTCATTGGTTAATAAATCAAATCCGTTTCACTGTGTCTATTGATTCTTGAATGATCGTAATGTAAAGTTTTTATTGTTTCCTCTTTTTAGGAATTCAAACTTTCTCTATTCGAAACGATATCTCTAATAGTTTGCATGTATTAATAAAAGTGAAGATAGGTTTTGACGTTAAACAGTTAAATTAATGTTTATGTGAACAGAGATAACGTTGACTACTTTATATGATGTAATGTTTGAATCATTTGAAGCGGCCTGCTTGATCATCTGGGCTACCTGTTCCTGCCATCTAGATATTTCAACAAGTTATCTATTTTTGTTTGTTTTAACATATCATTATGTTTATTAATCGCATAACCTATTCTGCTGCGTTTCCGAAAAGTGTACAACCTTTCGTTGTCAAAGTTACGAAAAGCTCAATAAGAGACTATGTGGTTGCTGGCAATGTACAACGAAAAGAATGTACATTATTCAGATGTTCATTTACTGGACTGCTGACATCTAAGTGGCGATCACTCAGTATTTATCGCGAGGACCGATCAAGAAGAAAGAAACGGAAACTTGTTGAAATACTTTACGCTGAGAATTCTATATTGTACCAAAAATATAATATTGAATAAAGCTGATAATAATAATAATAATAATAATAATTTCTCAGAAAATACGCTCTTTTCAATTACTATTATGTATTGTGTGATAGTTCGATTCTTCCTCAATCAATGATAACTTTAAACTATTCATCTCATTGAAGACGACATCAATAAAAATCCCCTTAGTAACAAATTCTTACCATATTAGATATTCTCTATATGTACCGAAATAACGCTGCTAAATTTAACCAAATATCCGTTTTTTTTAAAAATAATGCAAGAGTATTAATTACATTGTTATACAAACGATTGTTTATCTAAACATAAATGTGTAGGAAAAAGTAATAATTGAATTTAATTAATTATCTTTATGTAAATGTAATTGAAGTTTGTTTTTTTCTTCTGATTAGTTTCCTATTTCTTAGTATGTTTAAAGGGTAAATACAAATTGGTTAATCAACATTTGGTTTACTTTTATTTACTATAAATAAATTTTAATTCAATATAAGATTATGCCAATTAAAAAAAAATTAAGAACAATGAAAATTTTAGGTTTAAATAAGAGAAAAAAAAGGAAAGGAAGAGAATTCAATCGTAACAATTTATATTGATGTAATTAGTATGAAGTTATTTTGATTCGTTTTTTTCGATAGTTGAAATCACGAGTCAATTGAAGCTAAATCACCGTGGAAAACCTGGAAACACTGGACGGCCGTTTCATCCTAGTATGGGACTAATTAGTAGTGCGCATCCACGATCCCGCCCTCAGGGAGATTCGAACTCAGCACCTATCAGCCTCGCGCGCGAGCACTTAACCATTAGACCACTGAGCCAACATCCAATGGTGTTAATGTCTAGCTTCAAACAATGCTGAAGTGTCCCATACTAGGACGAAACGACCATCCAGTGCTTCCAGGTTTTCCATGATGGTCTAGTTTAAATTGACTCGTGATTTCAACTGGTAAATTTTTTAAAATCTCCATAAAACCCCTTCTGATCTCTTTTTTGATTAATTTTAGTTTATGCTGTAGTTAAGTTTCATAAATTGGATAATTGAATTGAGGATTTTTCATGGTTATTCTGGAAAAATATTATTAGTATTTATTTACTTTGTATAGATGGATAGTGGCTAGCAGTGGAACCTAGGACGTGCGTTTCGTCCTATTTGGGACTAGTTGGCTGGATATACCTGAACATTCCAGAGTTGATATTCGCCCTGGGACTCAAACCCATTACCGTTCGCTTCAAACGACATTACGTTATACACTTAGCTACTGAATCTCGGCTGGGCTCCCAACTCTGCCTGTAGCTCTTTTAGAGTTACTGCCGCTCCCAAGTCCAGGTAAAGGAAGAGGGTTGGACATGGGGCTAGAGACCTCACACCGTAGAAAAATAATTCCCTAACTCGTAACTTTGTATAGAAATTTCAACTTAAGTCGGATCAGATTAGTTGTGAAATAGCTTAATAAGTGAAAATTACAGTGAATTTTTTTTCGATGACAGTTTAGAAATTTTGAACTACCAACATGATTCTAAAAGTGAACAATTTTCATTTAATTAACACCTAATCAAAACTTCACTCAAATAAACATAATCAAGATTAAATATTCATCAGAATGAGACCTTTAGCTACAAAAAAGGTTAATCCGCAAACTTATTTTCATTGATTATTTACTCTACCTTATTTTATTAGGCAGTTAGTGTGGCTACCACAAGTAAGTTACTGAGCCTTCCATAGTCCTACATCTAAGTGATGAAATTTTTAGGATTTATAAAAATAGTTATCAGCAAACAGAAATAGTGCTAATCAAATCAAATAATTAACAGGCCACACAAAATTAATGCGATGAATAGACTCGTTGCGTACAAAGGTATATTCTGGTGAATGACGACAACTTTTATCTAAGATTCTTATGGAACTTTAGCATTATGAATATTATGAAAATGTTAAGATGACTATATCTGTGGGTTAAAATAAGAGGAAATAGTTGACTAAAGTTTGTTTAAATTAGGTATGTACTAAGTATCGGAACTTTGTCCTCGTAATGAGTTTAAATTATTCATACCCTCATCAATTTTCTCAATCTTAAGGGAAATTGATGTAATTTTAGACAATTTTAAATTTTACCTTGCATAAATTTTGTTTAATAGTTCCTGTAATTACAGCTATGTCTTAATGGTAGATGATATGCCACTGGAAAACGTATTGAAGCTCCTCTAGTCAAGGCCTAATGCAGAAGTAGGCTGATAAACACATACTCTGCTTAGAAACCAGTATAATATAACTCCATAAAGTCAGTGACTTTCATTCATTGAATTGCAAGAATGTGTATGCTAGTTACGCTGATAGATATACGTAGTACGTAGCACCAATCTGCAGTGGAATGTTTTGCAACCGAAGAATGAATTAAAGATAACTAGAAGAGAAATAAAGAGCCATTGTATTAACAACGGAGTTGGAACATTCATGAAGAGTGTAAAGCAGAAGTGAAGGGAGATGTGTAAATAATGTTTTAATGTGTGTATTTTAACAAGACACTTTAATTTTACATTAAACAATAAATTGGTTTTCTCCACAAAGTCTTCGTTCATTAAAGGTGTAAATTATTAAAAAGTGATTATTTAAATGACAGAAATATCAGGCGGTTTGCAGTAGATTATTAATGCTAACATATATTCATCTTATTTGATTATTTTTCTATAATTAACGTTTTAGTGGCCCGTGGATCTGACTCCAATTAGATCGTATAAATGTTTGTTATCGCCTATCCTCGTATATAATCTTCGACTTAAATCGCGTTAGTCAATAACGGAATTAAATATATCAAATAACGAGAATGGACTTGTGAATAAACATATTTTGTATATAAAGCGAATGTAATACAGAGAAGAGAAACGACGCGCATTGGTGATGGCGGGTAAGCAAACTCCCCTTTAACCAAGCGTTAATCAATATTTATAGTTACACAAAAGTAATTTACGGACATGTGCTGAGTAATGGGATAAGAAATGTACACACACCTACGCGCTCATATAAAAACAGTTAAGATTGATAAGCGAATAATTAACAAGGTCAAAATGTGACTCAAGTAGAATGACTAGAATGGGCTGTCCGAAAGCTAGAATAAGGTATATGGGCTTAATATAATAACTGACACTACAACCTATCTTTCAACATCGGATTAAGTTTTTATGTTTATATCTTTATCATCTTTTCTAGGAATTCCTTATTTCTTTGCTGTTTTAAATAGTAGAGACTTAACTATGCTTACTTTAGTATCCAGTAATTATAAAATGATGTTCAAGTTTTTAGTAATTCATCTATTTATTGTATATTCTTTTAACATCTGATTTAAACGCAAACAATTATAACCAAAATAATAATTTCAATGAAATGCATTTACACATGTACGAATAGTAGATTTGGTTAGTTTTCAGTACTAGTAACAATGGGAGTTATTTAGTTATCACAGTGAATTGAAATGTTTACATTAATTTCACAATGAAATTAAATGTTTTCAATTTCAATGGATTTAATTTGTTCATATCAATTGGATATTTGTGCTTTTTTCATTTCTAATGCCAAATGCCTAAATGAAGAATTTAATTTGTCTCGTATAAATGATGAATAACCACTAGACATTGAAAGATCTTCAAAAGATCCTAAGAAAAAAACACAAAATATGCAGAGATGATTTTATCAAAGCTAATCATTAAAACGTTTGACAAATATTATGAGAATCAGACAAATACACATATGAAACACATTTTCGTTACTTTGTTGATAAAGATTATTATCAGATTTACGTGGAATTGATATAAACCTAATGAAGTATATTTAGTACTGAGTAGATCATTAGTCTATGAAATACCTAAACACATTTTACATATCACCCTAGTTGCATAATGTTCTGATTAGATTATTCAAGCATATGATTATTGAAATCTGACAAGCAACAATAGATCAGTTTTATGAAAAGGTAATTAAAATTAGTAGTTCTACAACTCGTCATATTTTGCTAAATTTCAAACGTTTGAAGATCATCAACCAAAATTAATGTACCATTAGAAAAGCATTATTTCGACTTAGTTTAAGAAAATGTGACAGCTTCAACTAAGACGTCTTTATTATAGACTCTTGTCTTCGTTGATTTTCACTATGAATTCTGATAGAATTTCTACATCATTAGAGAGTGCTGAGTTCATGGTAATAATCTAAAAGCTTATTACATCAACAACTCAGAAGTACTAAAATGTCCATACTTTTCTACAATTCACTACGTCTATTTAAATATTTGTGATTGTTATGTGACCTTAATAATTAAGGAAAACTAAAGCTTTAGATGTGCAATTGTCACTTCAGTATTCCACTGATTCTACATTTTACCAATTGACTACAAAACTAAACATGTTCTGTTGATGCTGGTTGGAGGCCTATGCTCCATTGGGGGTAACAGGCATAGGTAAGTAAGTAAGTAAGTAAGTAAGTTAATTTTTCAAACAATAGTTTACCAGAAAACCCGGATATAGTGACAGATCTTCAAATAATCAATGACATTTTTTCTTACAACTGCAAAATATTTCAACTATTTTCTTGATTTCTGCAACTACTATGAGATTAAGTTTGACCAGATGTGATTTGAAATACATGTTTAAATACTATACAGGATTTCCATAACAAAATCTGTACCATGTTTGCTTTAATCAAAGCTATGATTATTATCAGAAAGGGATTTGGTGAGTCAATTGGAGCATTCAGGTTTTTCATGGTGGTCTAGCTTCAATTGACTCATGAAGTCAACTATTCTTAGTAATTTAGTTTCTTATTGGTTTGTTACTGGTACTAACTTGTTACGATAGAAGCATGAAGATCTAACAGTACAAGGTATGTTGTGAACTTTATGCTAATCATCTATACAAAGTTAGATACTATTTTGAAAAAATGAAGACAACTTCCTAAACCTAGATAGTAGAGGGATTTACAGATTAGTTTAAAGAGTTATTAGGTCAGTATTTTTATATTCATTATTTTAAACTACGGTTCTACTATTTTAGGGATGAAATGCAATTTTATCGAAATAATTAACAAATCAAATTATTAACAGAACAGTTTGATTTATTTTTTTCACGAAAAGTTTAACAATTAGTGTAATTGTTTACCTTTTCTATCGTTAGGGTTTTTCATGCACAAACTTCTGTCTTGTGAATAAGACCTTATTGGGCACATAGCTGAAGCAGATTTGATACGATGATAACGCCGATGGTTATTCGATATGCTATCAGTGTACTTATTACTCTGATATTCGGAAATCAGTTGTTGTTTCTGCCTTTTATTGTTCACATTATTTATAGTGCCCTTATTGCTGCTTTTATTATAATACTTATCATTAGTGTAATATGTTGCTGACATTTTTATCTGTTGATTAATATGACTGTTATCTTTATTAAGATTTGTCGATATGTCATTCATTTCATCTGGTGACTTGCATATTCTCTCAGAATTCATATGTTGAAGAATATGATAACCATAGAATTTTGGTGGATTTGTGGGTGCTACTGCTGTTATTGATGACGATGAATATCTTACAGGTTTCATATTTCTTATTGCATAAGGTTCATGTGGCAAAGTTTGGTAACTATTTGAAGTACACGTAATATTATGAAACGATTTGGTAGCATTTTCATCCCAGTTGGATGTTTGGGTTTGTACTGAAGAAATATTCGTTTGCTTTTTATCAGATGATATTTCTGAAGGTAACGATGATTCTTTCAGCGTGTTATTTGATGCATTCACAAATTTGGTATTCATAACAGCGTTTGTGAGACAAGTTTTAGTATAACTACAATTGTTTAAATCAGTACTATCATTTATTACTGATAGCGTTGATCCAAGAAAATTTTTATTATTTAATTTAATATTTGGTTGAGCTGATTCTCTCTTTACTGATGATTGAAATGTTTTACTTTTTACAGATGATAATGGTGAAGATTTATTGTGTGAATCACTTCCATTATCTAATTTATAATGCTGCTTCAAATACACATTATTATTTTCATCAATATGTTGAGTAATTGTTTGTGATTGATTTGAACATTCGTCTGTCCTAACAATAGTTTTGATATTATTCAAATCTATGCATTGATTTTCAACAGAACTATCATTTGGATATCCTAATGAAATGGAATCATCTATTTTATGATAGTCACGGAGGTCAATTGTATTTGAACTGTAATTTGATGTTTTTGGATTTGTATCACCTTGTGTTTTGAAAAACTGGCTAGATTTCAGAGGTGGATCTAAATTCTTCAAATGTACAGCTCTACACAGCAAAAAAGTATAAAGACATTTAAATAATAATGTGCGTACTAAAAATAATTTTTAATACACTTAAACTATTACGTACAATTAATTTATATCGGTTGTTTAAGCCTTCCGATTGATGTTCAAGAATTCAATTGATCTGTCGCATCTGTGCATCCTGTGTGTATCGTTTCGATAGTCTCATTAAATTATAAGGAATATTTACCAGAGTTGAACGGCGACTAGAAGTAGAATCTAGGACTTACGTTCCGTCCTGTTTGGAACTTATCAACTCAACGTACCTGCATCTCAGAGTTCTTGTTCGCTTCTCGATCCCAATCCAGTACCTTTTGGTTCAAGTGCCAACTTATTATCCGTTTAGCTACCGAGTCCAAATAGTAATGTGGTGAAGTTTAGTTCATTTATATTGGTTGTTTGAATCTTCTCACTGTCATTTGGGACTTTAATTGACAAGACGCTTTTGAAATATATGCATTTAGTACGGACTGCACAACAGTATAATATCAAGACATAAATAAATACTGTGCCTAATCTTTACTTACATAAAATATCAGTCTTAAACTGGTAACCATGTAAATGAGTGCATCTTACAAAACGAGATATTGATTTAAGGTATTTGTGGTTAACAGCCTCACAGACCAGCCCGAAGTTTTGAATCTTAACTGGTGTCTAATTCAGCTTCAATTGAGTTCTGATAATAAATTTTCAATATAAAGATCATGTTGAGCGGTTAGATATTGTAGCACATTGCTCATGATCCCAGGTGGACAGGTATGAATGTTTATAAGCTCTGAGTCAAAGCAAATTAGTTTTTTACATAAAGACCGATCTCAGAAGGGGTTGAACTTATATCACACAGTTTTACAGTCATACATTGAATCAATTAAATATTTCGGTTAAAAAATATGATTGTTACTCAATAACCGATTAGTATAAACAGTTGAATTCCCTAAAAAAGTATTTTTTTTAGGGAGAATAGTTCAGTAACAATATTTGTGACATTGTATCCGGTTAGTTAGATGATTATCTAAATATAACTGCATTTAAAATGTATTTAAGTGTACTGGATATTATAAATTCAGATTCACAAACGGTATAGATAAAAATCTTAGATAACTTAACTCCGCTTAAAATAAGTCACTATTAAATTTATTTAAGAACCTAGAAACAATCTATTACTTACTTTCTACATAAATTGATTACGGATTTTAAGCCAGCTATAGAAACGCTTGTCATTTCACCTGCTATGGACAAAGATTCGGTATTTAATTCATTTGAAATAAGTGCTATTCGATCTGGTAAAGTTTTGTCGTAAGAACAGTGGACAAAGGAATCACAGGATAAATCCTCATTACCTTCTGAATTATGATAGATTGTCAAAAACACATATTGAAGTATATCATAGTAGTAAAAAGATGGTGAACGTGAACCTAATGTACCACCAACTATGTTCTCCTGGTAAGCCCCTTGAAGAAAGGTCAACATTCGATAACCTTTAGATCCATGAACTGGAAAAATACATTGAAAATTACCAAGTGAAGCACGATAACGTTCGTCTATTAAGTTGACTAATGTACGCAAATCATCCGGTGAAAGTTCCAATAAAATATGACGTAATATATTCATAGGATCCTAATGTGTGAGAATGACAAGAGGTTTTCAAACTGTTTGACTCAATTTATAAATAAATATAATCAATAGTGTAAAAAATTGATAGGAACTTTTAATCTTTTCATTCGTCAATGTAATCCATGAAATTTGAAGGTCCTTATTTCAGTATCGAAAAATCTTATATAATTCATTCATTGAATCAAAATAATTATGACTTTATAGTATTCAAACATTCTCTCTACTAATAAAGTTCTTCATGATTAATTTCTGTTAGCGATAGATGTGACCGTTATTTAAGAAAAGTATTGGAAGAAAATATCATGAAATAGAAGTTGAGATAAATCATTAAATTAAGAATACTGAGTGAAAACAATTGGTTTGGTTACATTTTTGTGTAAGCAAAACAGGCAGATCAATCCATTAACTGTAAGTATATTGATATAGCAGAATGTGAGCTATATTACACAGTCTGAAGACAAAGATATGATCTAGCGATTAACTTATTAGACGGTTGTGTAACATTTAGTTCACTCCGAAATATATAGTATTTCATTCCCAAAGTATCATCTGATGTAAAATAGTCCACTGACGAAAGAGTGCTATAATCGAATGTTTATTCATGGAATTTGACATAACATTAAATAAAGAGAATAATTTAGTGACATAGTTAAAGTATGTAAACTTGAAAGAGTAAAGCCATAGGAAAGTGAATAGCACAAATAGTATTTGAAAATATCGCTCCTCTTTGATGTATATTGTGATTAATAATAAGGATGTTGATGAAATCGCTCATACTTGATCCTCCAGAACTTATATTACTGTTCACCATTCCTTCTTTTAAATATGTAAGTTAACTGGAGGTAATCTTTGAGAGTGTAATAATAAAATAACAAATAACTAAATTATATCTTAGATATTATTACAGAATCTGCGACAACTTATAGTCATGAACAGATTGATCCAGAAAGCAATGTTATATTTTAAAGATAGATAAACGGTCCAAATGATTATTTGAAAAGATATGGTTCATAAAATATCTTGAACGGACATGTATCTGGTGGTTTATACCAATGTGACGCAGGCTCTCAAAGGTGGTCTATTATCGATCGGTTAATGATTTTAATAAAAGTTGAGGGTCTCCACAACCCCATACTGATAAATCGATAATTTTTTTTAAATTAAATAAATTAATCAGGGATAGTGTATTTTTAAAATATCTACAACAAGGTGAGCTTGGTAAGTATCCTAGGCATAAGCAGTGATAAAGACTTAATACCCTATTTTTCGAAGTTTCAAAAGAAAGGTAACTGTTGATATAGCCAAAACTGACGAAACTAATTTCATATAACGGACAAATTGAGGCAAACTGCTTCAGAATCTCAGAAATCTGCTCGCAAAGTAATTCCTATGGCTCCTTGAGACTATAAAAGAGGTTGTAGATTTACTAATTTTAAGATAAGAGAAAAATAGATTGTACAAGGTCTGGTAAAATATGCTTATTTCATCCATAACCATACTGGACAAAAAGTCATTCTAATCTGAACCTATTTACTGAGTGCAAAGAAAGTCTAAGTGTGAATGTTTGCAGTCCGCATATCATCCAGTGTTTGTAGGAGAAAGCTATCAGAGAGTTATAAAGTAATGGAGCGAACCGTGACAACCATTTTATGGCCTCTGATTTTAAATTCTCCATTTTCATGTGCAGAAAATAGAACGTAATCTCTTGAAAAAACTAGGTTAAGTACACTATTATAACTTGCTGGTGTATCAAGCGACTGTGACCAACAGGCCTGATCTCTGAGTGTAAAAGCAACGCGTGCAACTTCTCAACAATCTAAGGCTCTGATGCTCTTCAGTATGTTTTCGTCTTGTTTTTTTCTTACTATTTGGTGGTTATTTAACTCTTAAACAGCTATTGTTATCTAAAAATTTTTGGATTATTATTCCATTGGTTTAATGACGTTTACGTTTTTTTACAGTTACAATCACAAATTGTTCTTTGCTAGACTGCCAGGGAGAACCTGGAAGCACTCGACGTTCGTTTCGTCTACGTAAAGGACTCCTCAGTAGTGCGTGTCCATGAGAATCAAACACTGTACTTTCCGCCTCGCAAAAGAATGGTTAATGTCTGAACCATAGATGTTAATGTTCATCATCAATTAATCCGTGACATCATGTGATCATCTTGTCTTCGGTGGGAAACTACCTCAATCAATCTATAATCTTGTGCAACCCGTCATCCATTGCCTCTGTTTTTTATTTCTTTTTCATATATGTTAGTTGAACAGTTATATTTCAGACCAGTAAGTTATTTTCAACCTCTTAATTTGTATGCAGCGTTCTTTGATATTTAAAATCTCGAATCAGTTTATGATGTCATCACTTCTTATTCTTTTCCTACTCGCATATTTATCAAACAACTATGAGTACTTATGTACAGCTCAAGTAAATGATTTCGTCAAAAACAAAGTTTTCTTTACTGAATTGTTTTTATTTTCCGTAAGCCTATGTTTGGTAGTTTTATCTGGGACCATATGAGAACTTTTTACTTGGTAAATTCACCAGTTTACTGTTCTGAATCGTTCAGTTGTTCAGCAACTGAATGTGAGTGGTTTTTATTGAGACAAATCCACTGATACTAGCCATCTGGGAGGTTAGCTGCATTAAATATCGTGTTCCTATTCGAAATAGGTAGGGCCTTGTGAGGTATGTGGTAAATAATACCATTATTTCTGAAGATCATTCGCTTACTGACTTCGGTAGTCGTAAGATCAATGACAGATGCAGCTTTAGTAAAATCCTCAAGATCAAAGGGGACCGCACCTATGAAAAATAATAGCATAAGAGATGATAAAGACCTAATTTCCTATTTAAAATCATGAAGTTTTACAAAGGGACTTCATTTTGGAACCCATATTCCTTGGTTCCTTATTTACACTGTCTATTATGTATTTCAAGTTATCTATGCGATAACGTTTTGGTGGGTTTCGAATGTGTACGTTATATATTGAGTCAACCAATGGTCATCACATGAACCCATCAATGACATGATCTGTTAAGCAAGGATTCAACATGTTTAGTGTAAAGTTAATAGAAAAATTAAAATTAACAAATTAATTCAGACTATTTTGTAATTTTTTCGATATAAGTCTCCTTTCGACTGCTATAGTAACATTATATGATATAATATGTGGTATATCATATACGGTACTCAACAAAACACACCAAAATCAAACTTTGTCCAGAACACTTTCAAATGTGCCGCAATAATTAAACGTCCCGTGAATGATTTAGCGTATATATATATATATATATATATATATATATATATCATTAATGATCAGACTTATTGAAAGCTTTAGTGATACATCCACTTTTAACAAGCTACTTAAGAAATTAAATAACAAGATTATCAATTAATTATTATGGTACAATTGTATTCACCATGTTGTTTTAAAATCTTCAAGTAAATACTTACTAAGTCCTATTATATACTAATCAATAATGATTATGATTTTATTTGCTGAGATAGCACGGAACAGTTTTTTGATCATGTAAATTCAGTAAAAGCAAACAGAGTAACATTATATTTCATCTGCTTAAGTAACTATCACAGAAATCTGATTTGAGATCCATGACATTATATATGATGTTTCATAATAGTCAATAAAATATGTTTAGGAAAACTAAAGCCAATGATATTGTCATAGAGATCTAAATGTTTTAATGATGAAACTAAAGCTGAATAACTAATGATGTTCAGAATTCAGTTTATACTGTTTAACTAAATCAATAACAGCGTATTTTTGTGTGGTTAATACATATTATATATTTCATGGATTGAAGTACGAATACATGAAGTTAATACGTTGTAATTAATGGAATTCGGTAACTAACTTTATGCTTATTATATGATCAAAACATTTATATAGAATAAATTACGAGGTATGATATTACCCATTGATGTTAACCATAATCTGGATGAACAACCTACTCATAAACTTAAAGTAATAAACATTGTCCAACCACAGTGTTAAGTAAATGTATTGAAAAAGATTTACAGAATCTATATACTCAATTAGATTTCAGATGTAATGTATTAGAGTAACTAGTTCTTTTAAACCTTGGAATGCTGATCTTTATATGATGCACGAGGAAACGCTTATTTAAAATCAACCTTTTGCACCAACATTTTAGTTCGTTATGTATAGCAACTTTCTGAACAAAAAAAACATTATTTCCTTTCACTCAGTCAGTACAGCTGAGAAAGTTTGGTTTATTTTTCTTATGAAATATATGCTATAAATAACTTATATTTCGTTGAACAGTATTTTCTTGAAAATAGCAATGAATCACTTATATACTATTCAGATTCCTTTATTTTTGTTCATTTCACATAATTAATCTACTCAGTCATTTATACGTGTGTCAGTTGTTACACAATAACAGAAAATCAAATTTATTTGACGTGATGCAATAGGAAATTTTCTAAATTCAGAAACAGCACCTCCAAACATTCAGCTATATTTTTCTATAATGCTCAACTTTAACATTATTACATTTCTCATGTTTATCTATGGACAATAATAATCTATATTTTGGTAGTTTATGACGAAAAACTTGGCAGTCTGTTTAAATCATTACGTTTTGTAATTATTAGTTTGAACCTAGATTGTATATCATAGATCTGTTAGATGAAATTTAATTCTCAATGAAATACTGTAAACAAGAATACTTCTTCATGAATGTGATTGGTTATTTCTTAGTCGTCAATTAACATTACAGTATAAGTTTAGAAAACTTTAGCTTACATACATGAATGAAGAAACCTCGATTTTGTCGAAATCACACACATACATACATACATAGAAAGAGAGAAAGGTTTTGAAGATTTACCTTTGAAAAATTTCCAGTAGTGGTGGTAGTAGTTGTTGCGTTCTTCATGTTATGTTTGCATAATCTGTTAAAAAAGTGTGATGATTTATCCTATGATCAAAACGAAAACAAAAAAAGTATATTTCAACATGTCTATTCATTTTACAGAACAAATGAAATATGACCATTTAGCAGCATGATAGTTTAAATAGAATTAAGCTGAGTGTCAAAAGACGTTAGTGTTCAAGATGAAGGCCGTCAATGAAATCCAAATGCTATTTTCCAGACTGTATCTTTCAAAGAAACAAAGTATTCAAACTTCGATACATGATATGTTTGATATTTATATAATGGCATGAAGTAAATTCAGTTTTTACAAAACAAGAGATTACTCAATTAATCACATATATTTAAACTAATTAACATATTTTTATGCTGCACTTGGTACATCCATGATTCTAGCTAAGAAGCTCTAATGTTGAAGAGTTGTGACCAGCTTCATTCACCTAGCCATAATTTCACAATGACCTCTATTTGTCAAACGTAAAAGGGTTATCTCAAATAACTACATTATAAAATGGCATATTTGAAGCTACATCTCTGCTTAGATTTTGATCTAGGACTATTTGTAGCAAGGGAACATTTAAATCACAATATGCTTACAGCTTGAAATAAAAATATCAATGGAAACATGGCATGTTAACTGTTTATTCCATTTATAAACACAATTATAACATTCAGCTATAAATCCATCGAAAGTGTATTTCTTTTCATTCTCTGTAATCAGGAAGATTTATAAACTGAAATACTTTAGTTAACAAGTCAAGTCATGCACCATAAACCCATATAATTTTGCCTTTGAAAGAATTAATAGATTTCTGCCAATTTGTTAACTTAGAACTACGTATGAAACTATGGTATACTAATAATGTCACAAAATATTACATAACTTCATAATAATTGCAGTGTGGGTCACTTACATCCATATAAGTAGTATATAACAGTGGTCAGGCATATATTGTATTTTAACAGAAGATCGATAAGGAAAGAACGCCAACGGAACGAAATTGGTATGAAAATGCATCAACAATGAAATCTGAGACAATAGACTGATATTTACAAAAGGAACAGTGAAATTTGAGACGATGGATTGATATTTTGCAAATTAGCTAATTACTATATGGTTTTCAGATTTTGGTGAGACGCTTTGTAACTTCGTATCGATTACATCCGATTGTCCCCACACGTGTTCGTGTTCACTACATAATAACTCCATATAATGCATTTTTATTAAAGAATCTCTTGATAATTGAATTATTCTAGTTTCATAACGGCTAAAATTACATTTCACTAATATCTGCTGCGAATGTAATTCAAAATATTAGTACACCTAAAAACAATAGTACAACTGATAAATTTATTTTGAATTATAACCCTCAGTAATTTGTACATCAGTGAAATGCTTGATTTTTAAGGGATTTCTTAAGTTGTCAACTATTGTTTATCAATAACTTTGAAAAAAAATGCTTTTTACATAAACAATTTAGAAGATGGAGAAGATTTATAGCTCAGGTGGATGATTTTGCTGAAGTTTTGTTTTTTGAATTGGATGGTTTGGTCGTGAAGCTTTTATCGTTCTTCTGAATGACATCATCAGCACAAACTTCAGATAAAAGTCTATCTGGTTGGCCAAACCATCTAGCTCAGAGAACAAGACTCCAGCAAAAGTATTTTTTTTGAAATTATAAGATTAAATGAATCATAACTAATTACATTTACTTAAATTACAGTGAATTAATTGTAAATAACAAAAAGTTTCATATTGAAAATGTACTAAAATTATTTATTTCGACTAACTTTCTCTTTATCTGTCATTAATGATGAGTAAAATAGATGTTTTCGTTTATCCTCTGCTGACAAACTAATATCCCATAAACGTGGATCTGTTATCGGTATACATGGATCAACAAGTATTCTATTATTACTGTTATTATCATTTAATAATGAATTGTTATTTAAATGAAGTTGACCAGAAATCCCTTTTACATCATTTTTATTACAAAATGTTGTTTTAACAGATACAGCTGACAAAGATCTTTTAGTATGTGTATTATTAATATATGGACTAGGTGGAGGCAATCCATTAATAGATGAAGTTCCTTTTGGCATAAGTGGTTTATGAGGAGTTGATAAATTACAAATAGAAACACTGGATCTATTGCATGAATCTTGATTAAATAATTTTACACTGTAATTGATATCGTTGTTATTTCTGCGTGACATATAGAATTGATCACCTTTTTGTAGCAGTAACATTGACTCTGGAGTAACTCTTCCGGTCGCGCTTAAATTCTTATCTTTATTGAGCTGATAGTGAACATTGTTTAGAGACCTTGATTGACTTGTTGTTACAGATAATGATGAATGGTAGTCAGGAGGCAGTTGAAACCCACATATGTTGAACATATCTTTAACAACAGCAGTTTTTACTTCATCATCAAGTTGTGTATTAGTGTGTAAACTGAAATATAACGATTATATTTGTGACTATTTTATATTGAAGTATAATAAACGAATAAGATATGATCAAAATTCTAGTAGATGGTATCCTCCGAGTTCCAACGGTCAAATTTAAAGGAAAACGGAGGACAGAAAGTTATTATGACCTCAAAGTGCATATTATGGTAGTTAAAATAGCTTCCTGTGCAATAGACTTTACATAGGAATCATATTATTAGATTAAGTGATAAAACAACTTGCATGTCAGGTGGCAGGAACTACTTGGTAGTAAGGTTTCATCTAAAACTTTTTTGGTTAGGATGACAGCAAACCTAGGATTGTCATGTGATGATGTTTATAAAGGCCAGGTTTTATAATGCACAAAAATGATACTTTGTTGTTTAAGTTATCATGATTATAAAAAGCATCTCTATGAGAACATAGACGACTTATTCTCACATTTTTGGGACTAGATGACTAATAAACGTAGTACTATTTGATTTATATTTTTTGTCTAAGGTACATTTTAATATATCACTGATTAAGATTCCTTCCATCAATAATCTTAAATATATGTTTCTCAGTCTGCGAATCCAAACTCTTATTACGGGATTTGTCTGGAATGAATTCTCAAACTGGTTGCAAGGAATGAAGTAGCTGAAAGCATCCACCACTCCCTTTATTTTGAATCCCTCATCAGCCCTGGTAAGTTAATATCTGACAAAGTCTCCACATGGGTTTAGAGAGCTAAACTGGGTATCGGGACTTGTGTTACCTATAATGTAGGCGAGATGTCCGTCTTTCAACTGAAAAATAACTTTGCTAAGCAGTAGTTGTCTCTGTTCTATTTTATGTATGTGAAACATGGCCGTTTGGAATAGAGCATATTCTCAGACTATTAGTGTTCGATCATTGGCGTCTTCAAAAGATTGTTTGCGTATGTTGAGGCCTCGTAGTAAATGTTGGTTACATTAGTAACAGGGCACTGGATCAAGTTGGCAAATCCGTTTTTGAACAAGTAAATCGTCAATGAATGAAGTGGCTAGGACAAGTATGACATATTCCCAACAGCTGTTTACCTTGATCAGAAATACTGATTGACGCGGGTATAGATTAGAAGAAAGTTAAATATGGACAACCCATAGTATAATATCAATTCAACAAACCACTGATAACAATATGAATTATGCTGGCAGATGAAGACTACCTAGTTGGAGTCACTATGGTTCCCATAACCGACAGGTAGAAACCTTTGGTGTTATGTGTATCAGAATTCGTTACATTGTAGTAGATCCATTGATCATTTATCTTCCTCAAGACACTAAGTTTCAAAATTATTTTATAAGTTTTATTCTGAAAATAAATTCTGTCCGCTTGAATCACATTCTTTATTACTGGTTTTTTCTTACTACGGATGATACTGCTACTAGTTCTAATAATTTGTTAAAAATCTTGCTAGTTTTATTTTCATGTGCTGATAGAGTGCGCCAATTTGATGCGCATCAGCAACAAGTTACACATTTCTTATGGTTGACTGATTTCATCTGATTTATTTTGGGCTATGAAAACAGGAACAGGTTACGCCCAATAATTCAACAAAAGAATTAGCGATCTCTACGTAGTTTCACTAAGCAACTCGAAAAGCTTTATCATAATTTAAGCTATAAATTTACAAAGATGAAAGATTTGATAAATTAGCTGTTGTATTCAACATCTTGATTAGAATAGAAAATCACTACTAACCAAAAATGATTTAGCTTTTAATACAAATAGAAAATGTAAAACGATGTTTACTTCATTTTAGTCCAAACAGGAAAAACAGGGAAAATCCACCAAAAAAAGATAGGTGTTTAAATGAAACAATAGACATAGTAAAATAGTGAAACTTAGAGTTAAAATGTTAAAGAACAACATAGAGGGAATAAATCAGCTTCATATCTTAAACAGGTAGAACCACCAAATGAAAGTTCTTTTAAGTCCATAGAATTAAAGGATTTCATAGATTTATTCTATTTTTTAGTACTTAAAGTCTTGGTTTTCTAGACAGCTTAAATAATACTTGTTAACAACAATTACAAACTCCTTCTTGATGTATTATCATTATTTCGATTTCGTTTGGACGAAACTTATCAGTTAAGTGAAAAAATAAACCACAAAGTTGGTTACTTTTTTCTGAAATCTCGACTATCGGTTTAAATATTCTTGTTTTTTTTGCACAAAATAAAACATTTAAGAACTATTTCACTTTTCTGGGAATGTAAAAGGAGAACAATCGATAAACACAAACTCATTGATAGACTGGGTTGACAGGTAAGACAAACAATTAGTAACCAATTTATTGGAATGGCTCAAAAGATCGTTAATCAGTTGTTTAGATCATAAAGTTTATTCACAATGAATGAATCTCTTAATACTGACGATGAGAAAATTAACTAGAAAAGCAAAATACCCACAATGTTGTATTCATAGGTATATATGTATATGCATAGACTTCGTGAACGCGTTGCAATGTAGAATGCTAATTATATCACGTGGTACAATGTAAGAAAAAATTAAGTGTTCCTTGATCATATTGTAATGAGATGCATGCAGGTTACACTAAATTTTTTGGAGTTTAATTTTGATACCAACGTTTGATGTTAGTGCTGCAAGCTAAAATAACATTTCGTAGCCATAAAGTGATTTTCAAGTTGCTTCAAACTCTCTCTCTCTATACATATATATATATATATATATATATATATATATATATATATATATATATATATATAATGGATTTATGTTGATCTCTTAAAGTACTTTATCGTATCTGACCTTTGTATGCAAGATTCTTCATATAATATTTATTATATGTATTGAATGTTTCATAAAGCAGTGCAATTTGATATTTCTGATCTTGTATTGCCGGTATCTCATAACCTGTAGCCGATAAATTTATTCATGCTTCTGTATCTTGGAAAATCAATTAGAAATTTTTACATGTTTTTTCAATCTTCTGAAGTCATTACTGTGATGTCTGATACAGCTTTCACATACTACAGCTGCAATTCGGACTAAAGCCAATTCACACCAATGTAGGTGGTGATAAGCCCTTATGATGCTTATTACTAAGTGATACGCTTTTAAGCGTTGTAAATTGGTTCGCCTCACGTTTCGTATGAACGTTCTTATCAGCAACTTCTACTGAACATCAGAAGCACTTAAACATGGCTGGCAATAAGCCCAAAACAGAATATTTTTATATAAAAAATTCAGTCTGTTATGATATCATATTCTCTGGAGAACAGTTAGCTAAATCAAGTGACCTGTAAACATTGTTGAAAATTATATACTAAAATAAAACTAATAAGAGAACTGGCAACTAAAGCGGTAACAATTTATTTAGTGTTAAGAATGACCCATATTTTTAGATTGATTCGACATGTGGATCATTGACAATGATCTTTAAATTCATGTCTTGATAGGTAAAATATTATCGGTAATCTACTACTTTGTACAGTAAATTTAGAATAGAGAAAAAACCTACCAATGATAGTGTATAATTATAAAATCCTGAAGTAGATTACTAAAGATGAATGCGATTTGGAAAGTCTACACGGAAATGCCCGCTATAAAAAATGCTTTAATGAATTTTTTTATTTGAAAAGGAATATCAGCAAGGCTATAATTCATGGATGAATCAATGATGTTAACGAAAGACAGTCTTAGAATTTGGGGTGAATTACGTTCAACCATATGACTAAATAGTATTTTGGAATCATAGATTATGTCAGTTAGTGATGATAACCCTAACTCCAATTCTTAACCATAACTTACAACTTTTAATTCCTATCCAAATTCATCACACTAACCTATAACCCTCTTCTGACTATAAAAAGAAGTTGAATTTCCTCAATGGTTGTCCCATATATTATAGTTTCACCAAAATATCCACTAATAATAAGATAAAATGTTTAAATTTACATATTATTTTATGTTAGTTGTTTAAAAGGTAATAATGATGATCCTCTAGTTACTGTTGACGCACATTATTAAAAATAACACCTGTATTTCCCCAAGTGAATTACCTCGGTGATATATTAACTTCTAATAGCCATGGTTTAAGATCAGCATCCAATATTATGTCAAAACCAAATAATTCATAAACTGATGCACGTCGTCGACAATTCTGATCAACCATCGTTGCAATACAACTGACAACAGATGATAATGTTTTAAAAACAATATCAACAATACGTGACCACAAGTTGGGCACATCAGCTCCACGTTCTGTTAGATATGACCATAATGTGCTCAATTTCCTAAAATATGTAGAAAATAATTTGTAATATGCATGAGTTATTAAAGACGTTTTTCATGCTTAAAATTGTATTGTTCATGAATTAGTAAAATTCAAATTTACGTTATTTGTTTAAATTTTTGGAAATACAAGACAAAAAGGATTGGATGACAAACTGTAATAGTAAACAAAGATGGATAGTGGCGTATTGCCTCGATATTGCCTTAATTTACAAGCATTATGAGCATCCAACTGACGAGTCTCAATTAGGACGAAACGCGCGTCTTGGATTCCACTGCTAACCACCATCCATCTTTGCTTATAATACTTGTAAATTAAGGCAATATCGAGGCAATACGCACAATATGCATATATGCCAATAAGAGACTGATCAATTTTAGTCCCAAACATCAATGGGAAGATTCAAGTAAAACAATAAGAAGTGAATTAAACTCTAATAGTGTTTCCACGTGTTAATGTGCTTAAATACTTCAACCACTATGCACTGGTTCGAATTTGTTTGTGGGACCACTTATAAAGTGAATGGCCGACTATTTATACCATTGATTATTTATCACAAGGTATTCTATTTATGAGTGTTTAGCAAAATATCAACATGATGGTATTTGTTAATGCTGTTTAGTATTTGTGGTAGATTTGTAGCTAAAGATCTGTTTTAGTTTGATGAATAATTAAATCAGTATGGGGTTGTGGAGGTAGTTTAATTTCATTGAAATCATGGGTCGATCCAATTGAGACCACCATTGGAAACCAGGAAGCACTTGACGGCCGAAGCGTCCTAGTATAAGACTTTTCAGTAGTGTGCATCCATGACTCCGCAAGTGAGAATCGAACCCACAACATTTGGCCACGTGCTTAAAAGCTTAATTTCTAGGCTAGTGAAATTATATCCAACTGTGTTAGTGTATACCTTCAATGCTATGAAATAACTAAGTGATAAAAACCATGCAGAGAAAGATTACCTGTGAACATAAGTTATATTTGATCGAAATCTTTCACGTATGCTCATTTTTTTATTGTTCTAGTTTGTATTTCCTCAGTGCACATATCTGTAGTGATTTACAAAGAGTACTTCGGATAAGTGTTTGATTAAAACTTATGACTTCTATAAATTTTGCTTTTTTGGTATTGGTTGTCATTTTTTTCGGATAAAGATGCCAGCGTAGTATTAAAATGGTTTCGATTAACCAGTAAACAAGTTTATATGTTATTACTATTGAAATTGTTAGACAGATAATTTCTCAAGTTCCGAGAATTTCAAAATTTAATGGCTGTTTTGTTATTTCTGTTTGGGAGAATACTTAGTTTTCACGGATATACTAGTTTCACGTAGCTAAAGAGTCTGTACACTCATCTATATACTCATTAGAATGATGCTCCAACATCATACCATTCTTTAAATTATCAGTAGCATAGACCGAATGAAATTGGAAATTTTAAATAAAATGTAACTAGTTATTCACTAATCCTTTATTACTCAAACGCAAGCAGTTTTAACAGTCAACATCATATATACAGAACTACTAATAGTTATATTTACGATTAGACGATTATCATAATTTGTACTTGTCATATTGTCAATGTGATGAGCTTATTTACTTGAACTTATCCATTTCTTGAAGGCAATTTTCATCATAAAACCAAACTTCAAAAAGTATATGACAATAAACATCTGTTACTTTTTTTCTTACTTGGAATAACTGTGACGTGTAATATTACGCCTATCGTAAAACCTACAAGTTGATGGACCTAAATCGGTTGAACCGTATATTAAATTTCAGCGGTATGAATCAAATGCTATTTATAAGTATCTCACTTACGTTTCCTTGATTTCAGTATGTTAATTCTTCATCAGAACTTAGGCGAATTCATCTTAAAACTGTTCACTAATGATTGCAGAATTACTAATAACTTAAGTTGTTTTGTGAAAACGTTATGTAATGTAAACATAATTTCCACAAAAGGTTCATATTAGCCTTAGATGATTCAAAGGAGCAGACAAAAATTTAGTAGTAAGACAGCTGTTCACCTCTAACCTGTATAAGGATAGTCGAATACTACGAAAAAGCTATTGTGAACCCTTAAGCTTCAACTCCATGGTTCAACCACTTCCTGTCCACCGCAAGGATACAAAATTCTGGTTCAAAAACCTGTTGATTGCTGAATGTATACAACTGAGGATGGAAATTACTACAAAACAACACAAAAATTCCAAAATACCACCTGACCCATAAATAGGCCAATTATCAACATTGATTCAAGTTTTGAAGTAGGTCTCATTAAGCATAATGAACTGAATAAATAATGTTATCATATGAAAAAATAACAAACGAGAACACTAAGTTTAATCATTCATAGACAAAACTGACAAAGCCTACTAAAAACTAAAAGTCATGATCAACTGATTAATAACAAACAAGTATAGAAACAAACACTTTTAAACTGCAAGAATAACTACTTCATACTCACCATTTATGATTCGATACAAATGATTCTTCCGTTTTATTATATTTATTAACAGAATAATTTGTTAAATGTACAAAGCGATTTCTTAATTGTTGAGCAGAAGTAGAATATCTATGTAAAATAAAAGGTTATAAAGGCAAGATGAATAAGAAAACTCGAGACTCAAAACTGATATACTAGTCAAATAAAGTTAAATGAAATAGAACAAATGAGTTTTAAATACAATAACATGAAAGTTATGATTGGATGGTTGTGTATTCTACTGTTTCAATCTTCTGTTTTAAATGAGTATATTTCCATTCTAATTCAATAATGAAAATAAGAAATGATAGATAGATTGTAGTAGATAATGAATGTCAGAATGTTTATCACGGAATGTAGATTGGTTTGATAAAGTTCATTGCAGACTGATTATTTGTAAAGTCCTCCTACTAAATATACAACATAATGCAAAACATGCGTTTACACATGCCTTATATTTATGAAAAAGACTTTTTAAAATAAAAATCTATCCAATTATCGATACTGTTTTTGATCGAGATCATTAATGTTAAACCACTACTGAAAACCTGGTAGCACTGGATGGCTGTTCCGTCCTCAGCAGTGCGCATCCACGATCTCGCTTGCGGGATTCGAACTCAGGGTCTTCAATCTCGCGCGCGAACGCTCAACCTCTAGACCACTGAGCCGGCTTCCCACAGTGTTAATGTCTAACCTCAGCCAATCCATGAAACTGCGCAACCATCTCCTATTATACTGAGGTAGATAACTGTCGCAACCCGATACGGATTAGCTCCACTGGTCACGGCTTCTCACTAGAACTCCAAGAGTTCCTTCACGAAGCTAGTCACTATTGATCACATGGTAATTATCAGTATATGGTTGTTGAGACCCGGCGAGCGAGATCTTCGATGCACACTGCTTTGAAGTCCCACAATAGGATGAAACGGCCGTCCAGTGCTTCCAGGTTTTCAATACTGGTCTAACACCAATCGGTTCATGATCTCAATCAAAAACCTAATAATTTTCACTACTGTATACTGATATCGATACTATATGAATTATCGAGTAATGCAATTTTTTTGTATATCATTTAATGTACAATAATTTTGAATCATAGGTAAACTAAAACACTTAAAAGTCGTCTTATTTTCAATTCAACAGTTAACTGTGTCATAGTCTGCTAAAATAAATTCTAAATAATTGTCAGCTTTTATTATCATTATTAATTTAAGGTAGATCAGGAGCATAAAACAGTAAATCAAAGTCATAAAATAGTTATAGAATACAAAGAAATGGAAATAAATAAAATTTACTTTTGTGAAGCAAATCTCACCAAACCTTCTCTATATACATATGCTCGAAGTGGACTAAAGCCTGCCACGAAAACATATAATCTTATATCAAATTTCTTGCCATCAATTAAATATGGTTGATTAATATATGACTGAACAATTACACGACGTTGTTTAGGAATGTCAGACCAACCACGAACTAATTTTACTCCGATCCCACGAGCTGATGCTGGCTATTATAATAAGAGTAGCAAGATACGTAACAGTTAGTTTTAGCGAACTACGACAATAAATATAGTCACATGAAGTATTATCATTTTTCGAATCGGTATCGATAAAAACAATCGTGGTTTACTTCGACACACAAATTGCACGCTAATCGTGTTCAATAACACTGTTAATAAATAAAAGCTCTTAAACTGGTTTAATAAAGTTTATCTATCGATTAAATTCGCCAGTGAGGAGGGATATGAAAGTAGCATAGCTTTCCTGGATTTCCTTCATTCCAGAAGATTGGACGTATTGTAAGAAGGAATATATGGACAGATCAGTATACTCGCTTGTAAAGCTTTATATCCGTTTAGTGTCAGATAAATCTGGTTAAATGTTTCAACCATAGAATCAAAATGTTATGCCTTCAACACAGTATGAATGAAGAAACAGTTAAGATAAAGAATGCATTATAAGATGTCTATCCAGAAAACTCCATCGGAAATTATTTGTCCAAACCCAAAAACAAGACGACGGACGACACACTAAATACGAAAATCTTTTACCTGATACTTTGTTTTAAAGGAGACATAGCTAATGCTTCATTAACAAATGTACTTGGAAGATGTATTGAAAAGACTTTTAACACGGCTAAATTGCATATGACTTTCCGAACTAAGTCACCACTTAAACAAGAAATCAAAGGTAGAATACTGATGATGAGCTGTTTCATGTGTTTATACCAAATTAGCCGCTGTTGAGGAGCTAATAATGGTGACCTTACTCAACGGGTACTACCGCTTTGTGTTCATGAATATGTACCAGGATGATTAAGAAAAGGATTCACTAAATCAATCAATAAGACCATAATTTCCCAATTAGTAGCGAAAATCAGATCAAAGATTTGCAGTTCCGTATGAAGTCCAAAGCTACCTACTTAGAGAAACAAGATTATAACTCCAGTACATAACAGAAGCGATTGTTATTAACTCCTTGACAGAAAATATATGGATCTAAAGGGGTTATATTCAACCCCACTGCTGCCGTACTTTTGATTTGGTCGCCCCACATCTGATATAATAATAGACCTTTACGCCTTAAACAATTTCTTTTTAAGTTTATCTCCACCATCTCATATTTATGCCACACATTCATCTTTAATTAATATGAATTTTCAATCTTAGTTTCATTTCCCTTATTACATATTTTATCCACTTAATTAGGCTAGTACAATTATTATTGTCATTATTATTAACATTATTATCTTAGTACCATATCTCCTACTATGTATTTTATTTACATGGTTGATTTTATTATGTTGATTGCAGCCAGATATCTTACAATCAGTTTTGTCATCTCTATCCTCAGATGACCTTTTTGATTTACAGATGACTACTCCCCTTCGATATCTGTATACCTTAATTGATCCGAAAGTCTACAATCTTAACATTTAACGATGTTTATTACAATTATTCATGAATGCTTTATTTTGGTCATTGTGACACATTTCTTATGGATTCATAAATGCAGAGGCTGATAAAGAAGTTATTGAAAACTATTGTTTGGTCAAACATTCATTGTTTTTAAATGTTCTATCATCCTAATTGGTTATTTCATATTGTATGAGAATATACTTGAACTGTGTTCGTTTGGGAGTAATGATAATATTTCTGGAACCTTAAGATAAACTGGTGTTTGAATTTATGTTTCGTCTAATACTTACTGACTGAGTTTTACTGGAATAATATTGCTCTGTACTATTTACATTCACATTTCAGACCAATAATTTTGGTATTAAATGGCGGGAGAGATTGTGCAGGATTGTAGATGTCATAGTATAAATAGTTTACATGATGACAATGGTTTCCTACTTTCAATAAAAACCTCAAAATTGTGAGTTACATCAGCGTTTAATCTCTTTCCGCTACAGTGATCAAAAAACATAGAAAACACTTCTAACTTCAAAGTTCTAAACTCTTTTCATTGACTACGAATGATGCGATGCCTCAAAAGAGAATGAAACAGTGTGAATTACCTGAAGATAAAATAAAGTTCAGTTATATCATGTTAATTTGAATAAACCTACATGTCGTTTAATGAAAGCCTAGGTTTGGAGACAAAAATGTTTCTAAACACGCAAACATTAAACAAAGTTGTAACATAATAGACAACTTCATAGAGTTGTATAAGTACGCATATTTAAGATTTATGAAAATGTTTTTAAAAGCTCTATGTGAAAGAGAAGAGGACATGAGATTTTCTGTGGTCAAGTAGAATTCATTATGGTTATCAAGAAGTTATCAGTCAGTTACTGATGATCAATATGATGCATGGTACTGATATGTGTTGGACTAAGTTGCCAAACCGTATAAGTAAGATGAAGCCGAATAAAAATATGAGAGGAATGAACAACAATTAGATAGAACTAGTGTTTTGGGGCTAATGAATCTTCACTTATACCAGTCTTTGTGTTCTTACTTTCCCGTCGTGGGAATTGCAGAGGTCCCATGTTTCGAGTATAAGTGATAAGCGTTTCCGACATAACAATCAGCGACGACCAGATACTAAAAGTAGCATTAAAAGAGCCAAGACAATAAGCATTCAAACGACAAATTATAACACTATGCTCTGTTGGGAGTAACAGGTGTAAGTAAGCAAGTAAGTAAGTACGCTTACTACAGTCATTTAGCACATAATAAAAGCTGATTTAACTGTGAATTAAAATTCTAACTTTTCTATTCTTTATCCAATGGTTTTAGACACACTTACTGGTTTCATAATCCATTTAGGTCGAAAATGAAATAAGGCTTCATCATTTGATGACTTTTTACTTGTAGTTTCATTATGTGTCCAAAATTCCTTCAATGATTTTAAATCTCCTGGTAAGCAAAATGTTCTTGGCACAAAATCAATTGACTTTTTACCAAAACGGGAGCGTAACTGATTTAAATTTATCCATAATTTATCTTTACGACCTAATTGAAATGAACCAGGGAAATGATTTACTTTTTGATATTCTCTTACAGGACGAAAACCGAATGGTTTTAAATGATTTCCATAATATCCAATCCATTCATTTGATTCTAAAAAATGAAATAATAAGTAATTATTAGAGTAATGGTGCTATGTTTTATGGTGTAGGAGCAGGTTGGAAGAAAACTAAGGGCGCCCAGATAAAAACATGGCACAAATCCATGAAGTCACTGACAAGTGGACTGAGCCATGTTGGTAGATGTAGACTAACTGGTAGGGATCTGCGATATGATAGCAACCGATGCTTAGAGACCTTGAATGACATGGATCAAAGTCGTTTTCAATGGCGCAGGTGTATCCATTCTTTGTGTTCTCCCCAATCCTAATCTTACAAACTCTTCGTGTCCCCTTTTTTCGCTTTGCAAATTTATTTCACTAGATTATACTCCTTGAATAACATCTTCAAACCCTATTGTTTCCGATTACTGCTTATGCTCTTACTACCTCTACCACTATGGGATTTGAATCGACCACTGCATCTCTGTGCTAATGTGGTATGGCAACTCGAACTGATGTAAGTACGTACGGGGTTGTACTGAACTTTTTAAAGGACTACTTTAAAGTTGCCTCTTTTGATTTATTTCGTATATATATATATATATATATATATATATATATATATCAACTTCAAGGCAAAATACATCAGTTCAAAAATCTTTGACGAGTTTTATCTCTGTGCAGAGTAAAATGGAAATATCCTTAGTTTTGAACCCTAAACGTTTGTGCAAAATGGTTCAACTTTACGTAACTGAGCTTCAACTTGTTTTCTCTGAGCTTGTCAAAATAAATTTCAACATATTTATACACAACAAAATGCACATTATGATGAAAGTATAGTTAACTTTAACTGTTATCCACTTAAACAACTATATAGTTTTTGAAATGAGTAACTTAAAATACTTAAAGGTAACCGCTTTATCAACTGTTAAAACTGATCTCCATCAGTTTTGTTTTATACACTATAATAACTGGTACAAGATTTTAACAATCTATAATATTCTTCATTTCTGCTAGATCCCTACTTTTTTAAAGGTTACGAATGGCAAAGCTATCATTTATCATGATTACCAATTAAGAGCTTAAAATAATATGTTTCAAGCACGTGAAAATTTTTATTTTCAGTAAATTAACTGATTGCCTTATTAAATAAACGGACTTTGGAACATCCATTTCAGAGTAAATTAATTTTTTTAAGAAAACTGTATCAACATTAGGAAGTATATTCTTTTCATTCAAAAACAAATTCATACTTAATGTTATCCGAAAATTAGATCTTCTTAAGACACGTTTAACCACATTTGGTGTAATAGCACTGGGACGCCAGAGAAGTTGATATCTGTAAGGTTTCGGAAATTTTGGTACTAGAAGTAGATTAGATGGAAAAAAATTATATTTGAAGTTAATGACAATAGAAATTAACATTACATTGTTTTGGAATTCAATAGCTATACTGAATCACTCTGTGTACAACATATATTTATTTCAAGCAAACGATTTGCTAAAGGAAACTCCAATTTATGTCTAGTTCAAGTTATGTACAAAAAAAAGGGCTATCAAATACAGTGATATGGAATCACCAAATTGACAAACTGGAAACACTTCATTTACACAATTGCATGACATGTTTTACTCCACAGCATGAAGGCATCTGTACAATCAAGGGGTATTGATTATGAATACTACTCAATTCACAAACACCAGTAAATAAATCCTAAATAACAGAAACTCATAAACTAATTAATAATTCGCCACAAAAAAAAAGAATTTTTCTGACATATGAACATAAAACTATGGACGATAATAACTTACCAACTACTGTGAAGTAGTTTTATTTAAAGTAATTGTCCTTAAACCAAGCATAAACTTACCATCCAGTCTTGTTCAACAAGAACAAATATATCGGGTTGTTTTACAATAAACTATCAGTAAGAATTATATTAAAATAAACACTAGACTATGCACTTTTATAAAACGATAATTGTGGTTTGATTAAATCTACTATTTATTTGTTTATTCATTTATTTTGATGATATCAGAATGAATGTAAATTAAAGTCTTAGAAGATACATTGACAGAAAAATTAAAAACCTGGTATAGAAACTTTACTCCATGATCAAACACCGTGGGTTGCATATTATGAGAATACCTAAACACTTTTATCCGATCAAATATATATATGGCTTTTATCGCCAAGAAACATTTGACAGAGATTTTATGAAAACTAGAAATTGGTAGGCGACATACTTTGAGACACATCATCAGTCAGCATCACGACAAGACATGGGATTGATACAAAAAGTGATCTAACTTTGCATCAATGAAATGGAGGATTAATCACTCTATAAAACAAGTTTACTTAAGATTTCTACCGATATCTGGGTTTAAGGCTGTTGTTGAGTGAGTTATATATTGGTATACTGACTTGATCAGCTCAATGTATGTGACGTTAATATTGTTAATCTGTGGAATTATTACATCCCAGCAACCTGTAGCATGTCTTACATTTTGGGGATGGAAGAATCAATTTATGTTTGCTTTGTGGTAAAATTTCAATGTCAACCTTTCTAATTGGAAAAATGAGGGCATCAGAATTAGGAGCGTCCTAGATATGTTTGTTAAATTCTTTGTGTAATACGAGGTGGCTTCAGTACTGTCTTAAACTCAAAACCGAAAAAAAACTATAGTAGGGTATCTAGTTGCACAATGATTAATGTTTAAACACTTTTATAAATCCAAAGTGTTCAGAATGTGAATTTACCCTGTAATATACACCTGTGGAATTTGGCCCATAACAAAAGTTTCACTGACATATAAAATGAAACAAAGTTTACTCACCAATCTGTTTACCATCAACAAAGCGCAAAACTGATGGTGTATTGGGAAATAGGGATGCAATGACTGGTGGTAGAATTTCTTCTGGTATATTACTTAGTGGTCTTGTACATGAAACATCTGAATCCGACATATCTACTGCTGACTGTAAAAATAACAAATAAACTTAAAGAATAAAGCTCATCATTATGATGTCTAGTTAAATAATATGGTTGGTTCAATAATTAATAGCATAGTTTTGAAATATTCTTAATCGATTCGGTATAAAACATTTTCAGAGTATATTTATACATCCTTAAACTATATTTAATTATCTTTTTATAAACAATCATTTGTTGAGAATCTTGGATATATCAAATTATTTTATAACACCTTACATCCAGTTCGTTTGTAATTATTATTTTAATGTTATTCTGTAATATTAGACCTAAACTAGTTTTTGTGATTTTGGTTGATTTCGATGTTTATTTATTTTCAGAAACTTCAGTGAAGCCATATGATGATATTAAAACGACTTAACATATTAGAAACAATTCTGTCCTAGATTTCAGCATAACGTATCCGCGAGATGACCACAATTTGTTGAATAATATGGCTTGGAACTGGTTGAAATTATGAAGATTTATCTATTCTTTATTTTCCTTTAGAGCTTGAGTTTTACCATATCTTCAAAAATACCTGTATGTTTCGTATTCAGGATCTATTTTATCAATGTTTGGTATCTCTCACTATGATTGTTACTAAAATTATTTTGACTCTTTTGACGTTCATTATTGTTAACTTAGTCTCATCGCGCTGATATGGTATAGGAACTTGTGTAAATGCACATCTTTGTACAAGATTCACCTCACACTCACGAATGCATGATAATAAAGTGGATTGTTGGTAAAACGATAGAATTCGATAGTTTTCTCTAGACTCGATAAAAGTTTCACCATCAGGTTACATAGCACAGTTACTGAATAAGCTACATGTTCTAACAAGTAAAATGTAGAATAGTTCTTTTTTTCAAAGATTGACGAATCAGTCTATAAAATAACAACTGTAAAATGCAACACCAAATAAAGTATAGTAAAGAATTCATGAACAAAACTGACTTGAAATAAACTATTATATCTAACAGTCTTAAACATGTTTTACTAATTTTATTGAGGTTATAGTAATGTATGAAATGTTTTTAAACTGGTTACAAGCTTAACAATTTTCGCTAAATTGGATCCATCTTAATAGACTGATAATTCAATCGATATTTAAAAAAATACAGGAAATCATAATAGGAAGTGTATATGGTTACATATAAGCTGCTTACTTCATTATCATCTATTATCACTGTATCATCTTCTAAACACTCTAGCTCTTGATCATTATCACTTTGATCTGATATCTGGTCAACATTTTTGTCTTTTCCTACTGATACATCATACTGATGTGGATTATGTAAAATATTCTCATTAATTAAAGTAAATTCCTCTTTTTCCTTTGGATATTGAGTACATGATTCAAAAGATTTAAGCGGAAAATTACGTTTGCCACTAGTTTTATTCATTTGATTTGTTTGAATATATTTATCTTTAGAATAATTATAATTATCTTGTGTTGATATGGAAGAATTTACTTCACTTTCTAAAAATTGCTTATTATTTGATTGTTGTAAACATTTCGATTTAATACACGTTTGTTGACATGGTTTCGTGTTTTTTGAAGATAATTTTATCTGATTTGACTTTTGTAAATTATTGGATGCTTTCTTTGTAAATTTACTATCGTTTATAGAAAGTCTATTCGTACGTATCATGAGACTATTTCTAGGTGATGATACAGACGATGGAAATGATGATGTTGATGACGAGGATGATAAAGATATTTCTGAATATTCATCTGTTTCGTGAATTTCATGTTTTAATGATAATTGTTCTAGACGAGCAGTTAGTTCTTGAGTAAACTGTTGTCCTGTGATTGACTTTTTTGTAGATTTAGATCCAGTATACATTGCTTTGTCTTTTTGAAATGTTATGATTTAAAACATCTTATATGCCTCATATTACTTTCACTTGAAAGATATATATAGGAAATATGATGAAAATATCAACGTACCAAGAAATTCTCTTTTTTTAAGGTACATGAAAACAAATTGGTGGGAAATCTAACTGAGTATTTGTTCAGTGTTCTATGTTCGTAACATTTTACAAACTACAAATGAAATTCCTGAAATTAAAACCCCAAAATTTCATTAAAAGTTTGCTGAATAAAGACAGGTAATTCATCAATCGTGAAAATAATGAACACCCTTTGATGTCAGTACAACAGTAATAAAAAACATTTCATGGAATCACATTTTATGAACATTTACTTTTATAGTTAACAGGAGATTTTTCTTAGAATATATGTGCTCAGGTCATTATCGTAAAGTACTGAAGTCACAATATATGAGGTTATCGTTTGTTGTTAAGAGCCTTTTAAAAATGTGCATATACGTACTTACGCAGGGGCATAGGTAGCCCACCAGCACTCTCCATCCAATCCTGTCCTGGGCATTTATAAGATGCATTTCTTAAATTACCCAAGATTATGGTAGTATATTACTGACAGTGTTTGGTAATGAACATGAAATGTAGTTATTTATAACAACTAAGGTCTAACTGGGTTTACGTAATACAAAGTATTACGTAACTATAACCATTTATTCCGATTTTGTATGATCTTTTCAATTTCTAGCAATCTTGACACCAATATTAATATTGTTTTTTTAGTTGGCTACGTTTGTTTAGATATTGATTTTTGCGGCTATTCTAAAATATAAAATGTCCCGTTTTGTGATTAATAAATATTTGTACTATATACTATCCTTTTAATTGTCATCATATCGATATTGATTTTGTATTTGAGGACAAATATGAAACAATAATATTAACTGCTAGCTAAGACTGAAATATCAAATACAGTTAATAATCCAAAAAAATCAGAAACAGTACTCATTACTTATCAAATAGATCACAATGTTTGCCAAACTACTCTCAGATGAATTTGTACTACATTTAGAATAATAAACATTGTTACCACTTACAAGATAATTATAATAATATCTAGCAAAAGATAATATACGGAAGGCCGCAAATGCAAACGTAAGGTGGACGTCTGGTAGGCGACCGTATTGTTCAGGTTTGTTCATCATATCATCAAAATAAAATTTGAAAGATGTGGTTTGGTTTACTTAACAAAGTTCCATAGTAATTTCTAATGGAATTAAAATACTTTTAAGTAGTTTATAGCATCCCATATTGACAGCCAGCTTTCATGTTTTTTCCACTATATTTAGGATACATTTTTCTATTGTTGAGTGTGATCCATAAAACGCGTTACTGAAATAGACTATTAAACTGCTTAAACCAACCGTTGAGTTTGCATATACTCCGCGCAAAACAAAATTTGTTTACATTTCCAACAAAATGAAACTTCATTTTGATTATTATTGTTTTAGAATAGGTTCTTGTTCAACAGCCAATTGAATGACCGAAAGTGCTATTTACTAACCTTATACACTACAGAAACGGTTCAACATCTCATGACGTACATGGTAGGCCTTCTTTGAAACTTCGTTGTCGGGAAATGTTATTTACCATGAAAAGCTGATAGCTAACCATATATAAAGGCTTTACGAGCATGTCATACTCGGTGCAGAGTCCTTGTACTGCTTTAATAACTTAGACCATTAAAAACTTGGTGCTTTTTAACCATGTTTTATGCTTTATTGCATATTGTTTCATATTCTAAATGCACAGATCCAGATGAAAATTTACTCCAATAGCAATGAGGAAGATATTTTACTATTAAGGAATGTCCAGTAATTCAGTAACTGATAATAAAAATCACTGTTCTAGGAAAGATTTAAATAACTGGCTTAATGATATTGGATGCCGTCAACTATTTATATGCACATAAGGGATACAAATGTTGATAGCTATAGCACTGAAAAAGCGTCAGTGTCCGTAGTCATGTCTCATAATTAACTAGAAGTTACAGTGAGTCACGACTTAAAGACCACTGCACACTGCTATGTGGTTTCACCTAAAGGATTCAAAAACCCAAAAGCACCAAGATGAACATTTTCCATGTTACCCACGAATATGCTCAACACAGTATACACAATTTAGTCAGACCATAACTTATATACTGAAATTAGGCTGCAAGTCACTGTTTAAATTGTGACTCGAATATCTTTGAAAATGTGCAGAAATCAGCTGCCCGTGCAATGTCACTAGTATCAGGTTTATCAAATATAGAGAAAGCCGAGAAGTTAGACTTTTCTCGTTTTTCCTACCGCAGATTCAGAGGTGATCTGATTTTGATGTATGAAGTAATATGAAATAATTCGGACCCGATGTATCTTCTTTTTTATCCCCACCTGATCAGAACAACTCATATGACATAACAAGTAAGTTTGCAGGTCAGGAACGAGCAAAAAACCCGTGGGGTACAAATTTTCAGAAAAGGTCATCAATACCTGGAACCTATTACCTGAAGAAGCAGTGTCTGAATCTTTAACTGATTTATTCAAAAGATGACAAGACACTCATAAAACTCACTACGAGAGGACAAAAACGGAATATGGTATTGAGGAGTGAAAACCGGGGACTGAGTCTGAACCTGACCATCTACCAGAATTATAATTCAGCGAATGAGTAGTCAGATAATAAAGATTCTTGATTTAAATGATCACTTAGTTCACAGAAGACATATAAACCAACCGGTGACCAATGGGACAGGCAATTTCAACTTTGATTCCGATTATGTTTAGAATTATTCTGAATTCTGTAAATAATTTCCAATTGCAAATAGATAAAATCTGGCTTTAATGGGTCCATTATTATTAATGACTCTTAAGGCAATCTCGAATTTTAGATGAATGGAAATCAGTGTTGAAAAATCGAGATTTTAAAAAATCGCAAATAAAGCAAAACAACATTAGAGACACATTAGCAAATATCCGTGTGCAGGTGTGACGAATAAACATTTACCACATGATTAAATATTATATGATGCGTTTAAACTAATTATAGCAGTATAATAAACTTTCATTTTGAATACATCAAATTTGAGTATTCCCTTGTGACTTGTTGAAGTACTAGACTAATTGGGATTAATAGTAATTCGCTAGGTTGTTTCAAATTCATATAATCACAGTAGCTGGATATTTTGTTGAGATATCATTTTAAAAAAGTCATTACCATGAAGCTTCAAAAGTCATCAAGTATTATGCTTGCTCAGACATTACGTAAATATTGAATTTATGATGAACAACCCTAATCTTCCTACTCTGAGTAAACTTGTGTCCATTTTGAAAAACTTCTGATGAAAAAGCTTCGAAAAACTTAGGGAAGGTTGAGAGGTAATGGTGCGAATTCTTCACGAGCTTCCCAGGACTGTGAAAAATCATTAAAATGTTTGGGAAAAATTTGTGTTTTCCTCATTATTTCACCTGATGGTGATAATACTTTCACGTTTTTCCTAAATTTTTGAAAAACTTTGAAGAAAAACACCAAACTCCTTACAAATTTGTAGTAAACTTCAACATCCCATTGAAGAACGGGACTCCAGGATATAGTTAAAGTTTTCACTCGAATGTTTCTACATTTTTGTAACACTATTCTTAAAACTAACAAAACATAGTTCAAAACGGTTACACATCTCTTTGTGTCCTCCCATCAGTTGAAAAGCTTGTAATATTTATATAAACATAAGTTATCCCATGTTTATATATTTGCATATATATGTAAAATCACTGAAAGTAAAATGTGAAATATTGTGTAAAAACTGTTTTAGATGTCATACAAGTGCCCATTTTATTTGCGAAATCAATAGAATTACCGGTTCTAATACGTACGCGAAAAACACCTAACGCACATCGGGCCAAGGTCAAATTTAAAATGTGAATAGCATTGAAGGTCGGCAATCAGCTTTGACCTTAATTGGTGTTTCTAACATCTATTTCAAGGTAATTGAAACAGTGAGCTAGTTTGTGAAACTTCTTCGGAAAAAAGCTTTCCGCCTTTATCATGAATAATATCAATTTTTCAATCATAAGTGATCAAATCTTTTGCTGCAATTGATGACTAGATAATCGACTCAGATAAAACAGCGAAGTGCCATGAAGTCACTTCCTGATGTCATACAGTCAAAACCTCGGCCGTCAACTCGCTGGATAACTTCAAAGAAATAAACACCACAATTAATGTGACAGCAAATTTAGTGGGACGTGACAAATCAACGTGCAGTAGTCTATGAAATTTTCTCGTACACTGATTACAGAACAATAAAGCTTCTATGGATTACCTGCTTAAAAACGGAATGCAGTGTATTTTTAAACAAAGAGATATTTTGGGACAGTAAAACAGTCGTTCCTGAATACTTCTAAACAGTCTTTTTCCATGAATCCTCTCTAGACAAACGACTAGCTGAGAGAGACATGTCACCCAATCAGTGATCTTATATCAGTATGGTGAAATAAATGTACTGTACTGCGCTGTAATTCCTCTCAATATGATATTCAAGGTGTCATGTAACCAGATTGGATTGTCTGAAAACCAGGGGGATTTCACTGTCACTCAACATTACAATACAAAATCAAGCCAAATTTCACGCTAGCTGTTTCATTTTCGTAGTCGAAATATTATAAATAACTACCAAGAAAGCCATGAGACTTATCGTGAAACCCTTCATCAATAAGCAACATGGTCTCAGAAAGCTGTTTACTTGCACAAGAACCACTTATTGATAAGAGAAAGATGGACGGAGTCTGGATGACAGTTGGAAGTATTCGAAATAATGTGCTAACTAAGAACCTCCGGAATGGTGCAAATTAGGGTATGTAAAACTAGATACATAAGTATAAAAGTGTTGTTTTCTAAATTTGTATTCCTTGGTCAATCATGTAGATATGAATCATTAGTTTATACAAACAGAATAATCGCCACGGTCTGAATGGTAATCCAAACTTCTGTGACCTTATATACTAGTCTTCTTTAGTTTTGTCATGTGTCCTTTCGGCTGTATATTGGATATAGATTCTTAATGTTCTCGGACTTATCCATTATTATTAGAATTAACAATGGAACTTAGAACCAACTCACTTAGGTATTTATGACATATACGGTTATTGGGACTGACTTGCATGTGAACGATAGATTTATTGACCTGATTTATAAGAGCATTGATATGTTGTGGAAAAGGAATTCTCGTACGAAGCTTTTCTGTTCAAACAATTTCATCATTCTTTCCTTTGCGGACGGCCTCGTTATTCTGTGCCAAAAGACTTTATCTAATCTTCCCTCCGGATTTTCGGATACATGGGTTATCATCACTAGTAGGAAAATGAACATTAGCTCTGTATAATTATGGTCCGCTATGATATTAGCACTGCTCTAATGATAGACCTAATCCTAAAATTGTATATTTGTCATGACATAACTCCTTAATCTATAAGGTCTTATATGAAATTCACATCATCGTCTACATCAACTCATTGTATCGTAGGCTATGGATAGAACAATATATTTAATACGAATAAAAGATTCAGCAGGGTCCACGAAAACGAGTATTATCATTATTTAAAGGATACTTGTTTAAGCACGATGGGATTAGGAGAATCAAGTGGTATAATAGAATTTCGGATGTTATGGAAGCCATGTTAACGCAGTTATGACATCTTGAAAAGAACGCTTTTGCATTTGCATGAGTTCTCTTTTCAAATTTGGTATACTCAACCTGCGACTGATCGATCATTCAGTTGTACATGAAGTTGATCAGCAAAATTACATTTGGCGGCTTGTTTCTACAACCCAAGAATACATTCTGCAACCTTTTGATTGTTCTGACGAACCAATTTATGAAATTCTGTCCCTTCACGACATTCGAAATAAAAGCACTTTACATTATTCGGTATTAGTTCTTTTGGAAGTGCAATATTCTTTTCTGGGAATGCTGAAGATTTTATTGAACCGCAAGCATCCTCTCCGACGAATGTGAGGAAATGAGCGAAATCTTTGTCATTCCTGAAATTTTTCTTCGTCATACTACAGACCTTAAACCCAAAGATACCAAAGTATTCTGAGTTTGATAACGCCTTAACCAGTAACCACAGTGCAATCGAGGTTTACCAACACATTTAAGTCAGAAGTCAGAAATAAGGGAGTTCGAACGTATATTTTATTGAAATAATGTGCGGACTAGGAATCCTAGAAAAAGCATAATTTAGATCAAAGAGAACTAGGTGAACACAAGCGAACGTATTGTATTTGAAATTCGAAATTGGGGAGAGATCAAGGGCAAAGGCATATAAACAACACAACTGCGGCAGCTAAAATGCAAATTCTAAAATTCTGCAATCAGTTTTATCTTTTCGCCTTAGGTCCATTATGTGTCTATCCGGCTCTGTATTGTATGTGCACTCTGTATGATCTAGTATCAAATTGAAAGACTGGAATTATAACGGACTCGTCTGGTTCCTGAAGCTGTATACGACCACTGATATCTACCATAGACTTTTTAAAGATCAATCACTCACACGAAATAATGCTCTGCACTAAACACTTTCCCCACAATAAGCAGATGAATAATAAGCACAAGTAACATTTGATATTACATCAGGGTTATTTCCGGATAAATTTAAGGGAATGGGCCACAACAATGGCATCCTCAACATTTTCCCTCGTCATAGTCCGGATCCATTCCATATAATTTTCAAAAGCATCAAAATTCGAATGCATGACCAATTGGTCCACCATAGGCACCACCGCGACGCCTATATGATGATAAGGAGTATTTGAATTATGATCTAGGAATCCCCGAAATAGCGTACTTTAAATAAAACAGAACTATGTGATCACAGTCAGAAGTATTGTATTAAGGATTAGAAATCATGCACCAAATCAAGTACAAGGGAATCATTGGTTCATAAAAACACTACAATTTGATAGGCTTTTGATATATCGGAAAGTGATTACTCTAAGCTGGCTCACGGTCGTCGAATATGCGAAGCATGTTGTACTCACTCGTGATCTTGTGGTGGACCAAACATTATATAAACGCAAAAGTATCAACAAAGTTAATAGCAATCAATAGTAATATTAATATTTACAAGTTAAATGTTACAAATGCAATAACAAATTAGGGACGTTACTTAAATCGGCTAGTCGTTGTGTGTTCTGTTGAGTTTTGGTCTCAAAAATCCACAATTATAAATGCGTAATAATTCCACAGAGGTAAATATGACGCCAATAAGTTTCTTTGACGTAGGATATAATGGGAATGACACTGCAGTCTGAAATGAGGATAATATCCAGTTTAGAACGCAACTGACTTGGTAACGAACGAGAATAGAACAATGGGTATGTGCGTAATAGTGTATTTGTGAACAACCGAAAATGTGTGTCACGCTATGTTCGAATTACAACGGAAAAAGTGTTCAAGTCGTTGACTAAAACAACACGTACAGTCATTTAATGATAAATGTACATACAGTGAAAAATTGGCAAAACAAATAGAAATAACATTGAAAACTATTTACAAAATAAGGTTGTCAGGTCTATCTCCACAATCTCGTGTGGATTTGTCATTGAGTGCTTTTAGCTAAGTGAGTTCAATAAAACTAGTACGGTCATCATCAAATATCGAAGACTTACAGAGCTACTGATTCTGGCGATTTATTTACCGCTCCAAACCTTTCCATTTAGTCTTCGAAAGCTTCAGAATTTGAATGTATATCCAAGTTTTCAATCATAGACTTCATTGTAATGCCAATAGGATGATCAAAAGAATTCGAATTATTGTTCTAATTAAGAATTCCCGAATTGGTGCATTTTAAGCCAGGCACAACCAGATGAGTACAAGTGGACGTATTGTGTTTGGATTTCGTAATCAGTGAGCAATCAAGTATGTAGGAATCATTGGTTAATTCAAATACCACAGTTTGCTGATAGAAAAAGTCCAGTGGACGTTGTCTACTTTGATTCTAGTACAGAATTTAGTTGGATGCCGCACATAAGTCTAGAGATTATGTGACATCTATTGAAGTGAATCAAATATGTCCGTATAGCTTGTTGACAGATAGTGAGAATAAATTTTCAATGTTCTCATGTAAACCAATGTTAAGTCAATTAGGGAAAATTTCTGTTCGAGGTCTTTTACCTTATATACTGAGGGCAGTTTGTTATATCCTAAATTCCTGCTCTGACCTTTTTAGAGTTTGATTAATTAATAAGTTGACAACTTACATACAAAAAACACTAAAATTCAAAATTCTAGCTAGCTAAAATTTATTTGATTATAGCAAACTACTAATGAGCTATTCTTTTGAATGATTATTACAGAAGGTTTGATATGAAACTTCAACACAGAGGTTTTCAAATTTTAAGTGCTAAACACCGAACAAAAGGCAGGATAGAAATTAAATGTTCCATTTCAAAGTTACAAATGAACTAGTCATGATAATATCTTACGGTAATTTAACTAATATGAATTTCTCTCGTAAACCAGCTATCTGTTTAATTCCAGATTTCTGAAGTTTGTCACATTCTACGACACTTAAGTTATTAAACATCGTCACTTTACCTGACATAAGATTAAGAGGTCATTAAATTGTGGCTAATCAAGTTTAAATCTGACATAACTCTTCTTTCCTTTTGCACCATGTAAGAGCAACTGAAAGGACATAGCAAACGGGTTCAGAAGACTAGGATGAACGCAATACGAATGGTATACAGGTTTATTTACTCTTGAAACTTACCACAGGAAGAAGTGGTGTCCACACGTTAAAATGACCTAATGAACAGAAGATTAGACACTCACAAGAGCCTACTTGAAAAAAGTCCACACAGAACATTGACCTTCTGTTCTTAGTACACAGATATGAATGTAAGCCTA